CATCCATCCATCCATCCATCCATCATCCATCCATCCCTCCCTCCCTCAGCACTGTGTTAGTCAGGCTGGCTGTGTGCACCCTTAGCTCATTTGGCTGGACTATAAAGCAAAACATTCCTGCAGGGCACCAGCCATGAGCTCAGCATCACAGTCAAGAGCTCAACAGTGACAACACCTGCTCAGGAGAAAAGCCTGCAGTCCTTGGCCGAGCAGTTTGGCAGCTCTTTGCAGAAGCCTTCACCTTTGGCTGCTCCATGCTGGGTTTCCATACAAGGAATTCTTTGAACCAAGCAGGAGACACCCATTCCATCAATTGCCTTCTTGTGGGCCATCACCGACCCCTGCTCACTGATCACAGTATCCTGCAGGACTGAGCATGTGCTGATATCTTCTCACTCTGGACACACTTGATTTGGGCCTAATGGAAAAAGCTACAAACTGGATCCTGACCCTAAAAATAGCAGGCAAGGAATGAGAGAATAGCCTTTTGAATGGATAACAATGGAATTACATTTCGTGTTAATTCCTGAATTACTCTCATATGACATCAAAAACGAAGGCTTGAGGGATTCCAAATCATGTCAAGGTTAAAAGAAGCCCTGAGGAGAAATTGTGACTTTTTTAACTGTTCAAAGGAATTGAAGTGCCTCAAAGTGCCTTCTGGTGTGAAACTTCTACTGTAATAGAAGCCCCATCTCAGGGTTTGTTAGAGCTCCTCTAGATCCGGGTGTGACCCCAGGATGCTGCTGAGAGGGAGGCTTTGGTTCCCTGTCCCCCAGGAGTCCTCAGGTCCTTCTGGAATTCCCATACAATGATATTTAAAGGGGGTGTCCTGAAATCTAGTCCAAGCTCTGCCATCTGCCCAAGCCTGTGCTTGTTGGTTACTGTGATGGGGTCCCATGGGACACAACCTGGAAATCCACTGCTTGTGAATGGGGAAATTCTTCCCCTTTGCCCAACTGTTGAGCAGAGCCAAATTCTTCAGAGTCCTGGACCATGAATCTGCCATTTCAGTGGGTTTGTGTTTTTCGACAGATTGTGGATGAATTACAGCCCTTTTTGTTTTCTAGGAGACCAATGCATAAAGTGTATCAGGCTAAAACATATTTGTTCCATTTTTGGTATCTTCCCCTCATACATACCCTGCTTTTTTTTTTTTTTTTATTTTGGAGCTTAAGACCTTAAAGAAAGCAAGGGCCCTTTGATGTTGAGGTTAATTCTGACCCTCTGGATCACATTCACAGCTACCTGCACTTGGCAACTTTGCTCTCAAAGGTGACCCTTCCAGTGCCTTGTGAGAGTCCAAACCTTTTTAATGGCCCTGAGTGGCATATACCTTGTGCTAAATGTGAGGGAAAGACTTCCAGAGTCATGGATCATCTGTGGAGAGCAGGAGGCTGTTCCTGGGAGGCCATCTGGATGCACTGCTTGTTCTGTGTCATGTCCTGCTCCATGGGGCTCGCTTCCACTGCTCCATAACAAACAGGGTGCTGCTGTGCCTCCAGCCAGTACAGGGACTTCAATCACTTGTTATTGCCTCTGTTTGTGTTTTTCTAAGCATTTGTGTTCCACCAGCACACTCAGAGTGAGTGCTCTCGAAGGGGAATTTCCTTCCTGATAAACAATCCTGCAGTGTGATTCAGCAGGAAGGATGTGGTGGTTAAGGCACTGGACTGGGATTTGGGAGACAGGGGTTCTGTTCCCAACTCTACCACAGTGAAGATGTGATGATGAGTGGAAGGGCAAGCAAACAAAGAGGAGGAGCTGTGTAGGTTTGGCAAAAACATGCTTTCACATGGCCTGTTTGTCCAGATTGGGATTAGGGAGGTCTGGGGTTTGCACAGAGTCACAGAATCTGCTGTGTTGGAAAGGACCTCAGGATCATTAAGTCCAAGTCTTCACCCTGTGTAGGAGTTCTGTTTGGCTACTCAGGTGAAGAGCATTAGGGACTCCTGTTTGTGTAGTTCAAATCTGGAACTCGACCTATTCCAGGAACTCATTTGTGTTTTTAACTCCATGTTGTTTTACCTTCCATGTGCTCTCAGATGCCACTTTCTAGTGCTTCTTGGTTGATTCAGTTTCCCATTGCATTCTCTGATCTTCAGGCACGTGTCCTATGGCTCCTACAAGTTGCACATGCATGTAGGTTCTCCACTCTCCTGCTAAATTCAAAGACAACAGACCACACACAAGATACTCCATTTCTCACACAGGCTGGAGTTCCTACAGTTTGACAGTAACTCTTTATTTGCTTTCCAGAAGCAAGAGCTTGGGCTGCATCTCTGAGTTTAGACCTGCAACCTCAGCATCCTGATCTGGTGCTGCCTTTTGGAAGATGAATCAGGACAGTTACTCAAGTGATCAGCCCACGGGTGAGTTTTCATTCAGCATGATTTGCTTTCCATTTATTTTCTTACTGCTATTGGAGGACAATGCTGAGTCACAAATAAAGCAAAACATGTGAATCAATGCTAAATTACATGCCATAAAGATTATTGGATCTTTGAGGTTTCCTGTCCACATCTGGATGTCAGCATTCTTAGAATTCTAGTCCAGGTTGAAATTTTTTCTAGCAATTTTTTAATGAGTTCTTACCAGTTCAGAAGAACACACGAGTTTTATTACTGTGTTAGACAAATCATTCTGCTTTTTGACATAACTTAGTTTTCTCATTAATTACTTTGGTGATTAGTTACCCTTTGCAGTAAGGGAAGATGTGAACACACCATTGTCAGGTATGTCCCATCAAGTCCAAGTGTCAGGGTCCCTGCTGGAGAGATTGAATGGACAGGAATTTGTTACTTCTGGCTCAGACCTGCCATAAATTCGCTCTCTTCTTCCATCCCCATCTTTGGCTGTGGGAGTTCAGGCTCACCGAGTGCTGCTGGCAGTTTGTGCTGGGAGAGGCAGATGCCAGGACTGTGCCTGCAGCCTCCCAGGCTCTGCTCAGCCTGGGCTTTTTTGGAAGTGTCAAGGGGCATTCTTAGCTCTGACGTGAGGGCTATTTTTTGACAGTTCCCATTGTTCCCCACTCTTTGTTTGTGGGTGAGGTCTTTTTTTGTCTGAGGCCTTTGTCAGAAATAGAGACTGTTAGTAGACCTGTCTGCTCACAGGTTTGGGGAGTTTTCTTTTGTTGTCAAGAGTCCTGAGAATTTCTTCCTCCCTTTTATAGACTGGCTTGGGCAAACTTGCCCAGACAAATGAGGGGATTGCTGGGATCTCCCCTTGCTAGGCCAGCAGGGAGAGGGGTCCTCAGAGCCACCACCCGTGTGCCCTGCTCTGGCTGTCGCAGGCCACATGGCTGGGGAAGAGCAGTTTGGGATTCTGAAGGTCTGCCTGCACTGAAACCCTTGCCATGGTCCATGGTTTTGAATCTGGAACTCAAAAATGGAAAATTTTAGAAAAATTCCTGTGGTAGCATGAAATATTTATTCTCTCATATTTAGCATGTACTTTTATTACTGTGAACAGGTGATGATGACACGTCAGGATGTCGTAGAGATTCATTAATCATCCACAGAAGGACCTAGAGGCTGAGGTTGGGGAAAAAGACATTCAAGTCTCTGTAACACATCCTGGGTTCTTGTGAGAAATGTCTGGTCAGAACATTCACAGATTGCTCATTGCAGCCTTATTTTTTGGAGGTGTAATAAATGTTGTGGTTTGAGTTTAGATCCACTTTCTGAAACAGGCACAGGAATTAATCTCTCCAGAAGTACACTTTTTCAGTGTATTAGTTATGTACATTTTACACCTCCTGTTGAAGTGCTTAGTCTTGGTTGCTCTGGGAGTCCAGTCCTGCATTAGGACAGGTGTGATCACTGGTGCTTTATATCCTGGTTGAAGATAGGGATCTTCCAATCTGGACCTCCATTTGTTCAGCTTCTAGCACCACCTATTGAGTTTTACATTGTTGGTTCATTTCATTTTCTGAGCTGCCACTGGAGCTATACTTAGAGAGGAAGGATATTACAATCTTGTGAAAGATTAAAATATTGTTACTGTAATACAGCTGGAAAGGGAGACCTTTTCTCAGGGTGAGAGACAGCCAAGGTTTTTCCCATTCTGTCCTCCCCTTGTATGCAGGAAGGAAGTGCTGGCAAAGGTCCCCTCAGCTTCCTGATGGCTCAGGAGCATTTCCAGACCCAGCCCTCTCCACCATCCATCACTCGCCCGGCCAAACAATCGCAGAGTGCAAGGGGAAAACACCCGGCCGGGATAAACAGCGGGAGCACATTTGCTGCCCTTCCCTTTATCACTAAATATCTTCATAATCAAAGTTCCCTTTCGAAGAAGCATCTCGACAAATGAGAAAGGGAGGAAAGGAGGCAAAGGGCAGATGTTTGCTGTGCTGGCCACTGGTGGCCAAGGACGTGCTGGGGATGCTCTGGGGTGCAGAGCAGCCTGGGTGATGTGTGGGTCCCTGTGGGTGCTGGGATGGAGGCAGAGCTTTCTGTAAGCTCTTCAGGGCAGTGCTGAGGCAAAGCCATCTGTGATGCCTTAAAGAAGGAGGAACCAAGTCAGGTAGGGCCTTACCTTTGACTGGATCACCTTTGCTGAATAGGATTCTCTCCAAGAAGAGGCTCAGAACTGAAATGGGATCTTTTTCCTTGTATCACTGCTTTTGTTTAAATGCTCCATTACAATATTTGGGCCATATTTTCAGATCTATCTGCTCTGTAACCTGTTTTTAACCATTCCTTAAACCAACTATTTGTGTTTATATTTTTCAGTATGGCTTTAGTATCCTCACAAACCTTGAACTGGGAATTCCCCCCTTCAAGTCCCTCAAGTGAGGTGTAGTGAAGTAGTGGTTTGGTCTCTTTTTCCCTGTGCCAGGGGATAGGACAAAAGGAAATGGCCTTAGTTGCAACAGGGGAGGTTCAGATTAGATATTAGAAATTTTTTTTCACTGAAGGAGTGGTCAGGCTCTGTGCTGACTACCTGCAGGAGCACCTCCATCTTCCCAGATGTGCCTTTCTGGGGTCCTTTCATTCCTTCTCTTCTGTTTCAATTTTTATTGTCCTTTGTCTGGGCTTGCAGCAGGCATGGGGTGGGCAGTAAGCTCCTTAAATCCTTTACAACACTCTGCAGGACAGAAATAATTTTTTATTTAAGGTCTTTAAAGAATGCAGGATTTTGGAACCCTCATTTTACAGCTGAAGGTATTTCTGCAGTGCTAACACTTATTTTTAAATCTATCAGAAATGCACATAAGCAACAGTAAGTGAAAAAGAAAAGAAAGGAAGGTAAGAAGTTACTGGGGATGGGATGGGTAATAAACAGCAGTCCTGGCTGCATGGTTATGAAAACATTAATCCCAAAAATTTACCCATCTGGCCTAGAGCTAGAGAACAGCAGGTTTCCCCATGCTCAGTGCTGGGTTTAGATTCTGGAAGTTGAAGCTGTCAACTTTAAAATAAAAAAAGTCAAATTCAGCAATCTGGTTTCAGGTCCTGCTGCAGCCCCCCAGTCCCCAGCCTGCTGGTGGCATTTGGTACTCTCATTTCCCTGTTTGGGGGAGCATTAATCTTTCCCTTTGTGGAGCTGTGTGACTGTACACAGGAAAGTGCTCACGTTAACAGCATGCAGCATTTTAAAATTTCCTTATAGAAAATAATTGATTGTGTGTTTGCTTGTCCTGGGCATCCTGTTTGGAAGGAGGCACCACTCGAGTGCTCATGGGTGTGATTCTGCTCAGGTCCTTCATGCACTGTTATTTCATTAGTCTAATGATGCAGTGTGACAGCAATGGGTTAAAGAAGAGACAGGGCTGTGGTTTGTTGGCAGTGTCCCATGAAGTCCAAGAATGCCAGCTGGACATGAACCCAGGAGCAATGAGGGGAACGCAGGACACTGGAACAGGACCGGATCCTCTGCAGGCGCTGGGAGAGGCTGCGGGCACCGAGGGGTTTGTTTGAGGACACTGGGCTGGGAGGACTGGGAATTCTCAAAGGGAGAGCAGGAAGGGACTGCCAGCCTGTCCTGACACGTGGCTGTTGTGGTTCATGGCTCAAGGGAAGTCCTTGGGACTGCCAGAGTCTTGGGAAAGACTGAGAAATAGGCTTGTGATAGTAAGTGCTGTTTGCCCAGGGATACAAAAACACCATGTGCCTAAGAAGAATGATGTTTAGGTTGGATATGTGGTCATACAGCAGAACCTGATGGATAATGAAGGAGTTTTCCAGGAATTGCCTGCTGGTCTCTACATTCCTCTTTGCAAAAAGGCATGGAGTATAACAGCTGCTTCCACCCACTCTGGTTCTTTCACATAAATCTAGTGAAGAAAAGGGTCAAGCTAAATCCAACTGTTCCAAATACCTTCCCAAACCCTAGCAAGGGTCAGGTAACAAGCCTTGGTGGAAGAACATCATGTGAAATCAAACAAGCACTAGTTATGAGAGAGAGAGGAGATGACACTGTCCTGCAGGCAGGACCACGGTGCTGCCACTGGTGCCTGGTACCATGCAGTGCCCTGGGAGGCTGCAGGGCTCCCTGCATCCTTCTTGTGCTGCTGCACAGCCCTGGCTCCCACAGATGTGCTGTGTGCTCTGGGGGAGTAGGGGCTGCCTGTAGCACGTAGCCACAGCTCTCCAGCCCAGGTGTTGGGAGCACAGTCTTGCCCGTGTGTGTGGGAAGGGAGGGACAGCCCTGCCGCGGCAGGGACTCCTTTGTGCTGCAGTGGGAACTGGGAGCAGTGCACATGTCCTGCTCAGAGACTGAAGCAGGGTTTGCTGTGTGTGATTGTGCCTTCTTTTAAATTAAACTATTTTGCAAGCACTTCCTTCCTGCATTTCTCAGAAGGAGGGAGGGGGGTGTGCAAAGAATGTTGAGCTGCCTTTGACGGAGGAGGAAAACTGAAGAAAACAAGAGATGCAATCCTAACTACTGACCTTTTACTTGAGCTTGGTGATGTTTTTCAGCAGCAAAGCCTCTGGGGAGTAACAGCATCCTCCTTGCTATTGTGCTGCCTGCCCAAAAAGGGGGCTAAAGTTCAGCTTTTATGATGTTCTCACTCTGGGCTTGTGGGAAAAAGGCCGCATTCCCTTTCTTAGGTCATACGAGTGCAAGAGATGACAGAGTCCTACAGTCTAACCCCAGGGCAGGAGGCCAGTGCAGAATGGGATTGGGATAGACAGCTTGGTAAATACACTGCCAGCTTTTTCTCCTTATGGAGAGTCACAGCAGGTGGGAGGGTAATTTACATTGTTAAATTAAAAGGCACTGATTTATTTTATGTTGCTTTGTTATTGTTTCATAAGAGCACATGGGTTGCCATTACTTGTGATGGACTCTTGCACTTTATTGTTAAATCCTCCTTTTCCACTCAACAGTTACTGGAAATGAACGTTATCTACCAGGACAAAAACAA